AGAATCAAGAGCAACTATGTTTTGCTTAGTAGAGTTGACGAATAACGTACCCTTTTTCCGTAAAATTTACTTATTAGCTGTATGGTTAAAAATTAAGTAAATTATCAGTATAGACCTTTTAATAGCTGTGTCGCTTTTAAAAAAATGCCAGTGCAACAGTAGACACAATTTGTATTTGGAATTTGCTTTTAGCCCAATTTATTTGTTTGAAATTGTCAGGAATTGCCTGGGGGCGGATCGCCTGGATTTGCATATGCGCGCCTGATTTGTTCGCGGTAGTGGTTTTTGATGGTTTTGCCCATACTTGCTGCTGCTGTTTATGGTAGGTGGGATTCCTGCTAACCTTTTTCTGGAACTTCGATTCATTGAAAGTCGAATTGGAGTTCGTTTTACTCCTCTTAAATCAAGTTCGGACCTGCAAGTAGTATGTCGTTATTTTGAATCAACATGTGTACACGGCGTCATTGTTGTATTCATCTATTTTTAACTTTTACATGCGTAAACGGTTTGACTTGTGAGCAAGGTTTAGAAGTCTTTGTCCACATTTTGGCCCTTGTTCGGCATATGTGTGTCCGATATTGTTTTTAGTTCCCTTAGCGTATGGTGGCATTGCTGCTGTTCACGTAGGCTTTAAACTGGGGTCAGATCTTGACATTTCTAAGTTCCATCGAATGTACTTATCTAAATACCCTAAAAAATAGTTATGAAGAGAAGTGGAGGTAGACAATTGAGCCTGAACTTGCTAGCCTGAGTTAGCCCAAGCCTACTTATGCAGGTCGTGCTGTTCACCTTTGCGGTTTTATCTCGGCCTTTTTATATTATTGGGCGCTTTACTTCTTGCATTGTGCGTTTACATTACGCTGCATGCGATTGTCCTTGACTGTCACTTGCAATAAAAATGGGATATTAGGGTAGTAGAAACGCATATCTTAGTCGATATTTGGGGGAGGGGGTTGTTTTCTATTTCTAAATATCAACTATTAAACCTAACAGCATTGCAGGAATACGAGTGTTTGAATGTGGTTTTAGTAGACTTTTTACAGACCCTAGTAGTATCAATAAAATTTTTTTTTCGTCTTTTGAGATTGATGCACGATGTACGAAGGGAGAAGGGTAAATGTCGATCCATTTGGAGTACCAGCCGCCATTGCAACTGCTGTCGTAACCGACTTTGCAATGGCGATGGATGTTGTTGTGGGCAATCTTAGTGAGTTTTCCTCGCTTTACAGTGATTTTCATCATTACATTGCTTCTTTTTCCATCAGAATATGTTTTTCTGTCATTTAGACATTCATACCGCAGTGGTTTTTTTATTAGCACCGAATTTTCACACTCTCAAATGGTTGAGTTTAAATAGGCTACATATTTGTCTAACCACGCGATTCCCTTAGACTGCAAACGTCCATATGGGTAATCAGTGATGCACACCCAGCCTTCGTATATAGGCCTCTTCCTCAGGTTTGCCTGTTTTGTGGAAAGGAAATAAAAAAAAATCCTAGAACTCGATTGAGAACCTTTTACTTTTTAACACGTTATTAACTTGGGCTCATTTTTCGAAAATTATTTTGCTTCCTTATTTGTCGAACGGACTTGAAATTTGCATGATTCAGCTTTGTCTCTTCATTTATGTCCTAATACCTTCACTGTCAGGTTTTCAGCGAATTGTCGGCCACTACTATCCAGGTGTTTAATTGTTGTGGTTTGGTTTTTTAACAAACTCAGCCATTAGTGAAGGGAAATGGAATTGCAGCTCTCCTCGGTCCATGGCCAACTTACACTCTCTCTTACTAATTTTGAATTAGCTTGTCTTTAGGTGCGACAAATTGGCGCGGTCATTTGTGTTATTCAATTTTAGGGACCGTGCCACATATGTGACATCGGATTCAGAGAAACAGAGATGGGAAGTCAAGCGTACAATTCTTTAATAATATGTATTGAACGGTCTGTTTTGTTTTTTCAAAAATTCACGAAACACATTAAATTTATCCACAAATGTACAGTTCACTCCACCCAGGAAGGTAGTTTGTATCTGACCAGTTAACTAATTACCATAACGTTCTATACAGCGCCAATGATTAGGTTATTTCTCGAAAAGTATAAGTTATATGAATGCTACAGCAACACTAAGTTAGTACATGGATTTATTTTCCAGCTTCAATTGAGAAAATGTCAAATAAATGTTGACTTAGCCCGATTGCAGGAGGGAGCGTTGGCACCTTTTTTCAACCTCTCACCTCGAAAACAATTAATTTCAGTGCACCACCCGTGTAACATGTGTTCTTTTTGTTTCGGATAGTTGGTAGCTGCTAGTTTAGAGCTTTGCATAGATTCAAGATGTTTCTGGTCCGATGTGTAAGGGTTGTGGTGGTTGATTGTCCTCTTCGATCTTGATAACCCACCTGTTTGCTCCATGTGTGATGAAACTCCTGGAGGTTTTGATGCACCTCGAAGTCGTTTCTTATCAGTCGGTAAAATGTGAGTGCTAGTAACTCCTTCCTTACAAAATCTCTTCAACGCCCGCGTTATTTCTGTTTTTTTTTAGTTTTTAGTTGTATTGATCAAAACAGCAAATATGTGATGTTTCACTTACTTTATCCTCGAAATCGGTGCCAATTATTCTTGCCGTATCTAAACGCCTTTGTGTTATCTGCGTAATATGACCTGATTAACCTGTGGTAGCTGAGGCCAGCATATGGATTTGTGTTGCTTACGGTAAATGTTAGATACATCTACTAATTTGCTTTTAGGCGTTCTGGCCTGGGTGAATATCTGTTATTAAGGTGAGTAATAACTGTCGCCTCTGCTTCAACCTGCTATCTGTTGCCTCCAAATAAGTTGTTTTGCAAAAGTCGTCACTGCTAATGTATT